ACATGAAAAGTATTCCCAGCCTGTCTGGGAAGTTGCCTTTTCCAGTAGCTGAGAGTCAATTGGACAGACAGGGGTAGATGAAGGAAGAACAAAGCCCATCTCTTCGAGGAGTTCATTCACGTCAAAGTCATAGTCGTTGCTAGGCTTTTCTTCCTGGTGCTTGACCCTCTTTTGTTCCTTATCACCACGAGAGACTGGGGTAGAGGAAGAGACAACAAACCCCAACTTCTCGAGGAATTTATTCACGTCAAAGTCACTGTCGTCGCTAGGTATTTCATCCTCATGCCTGATCCTCTTTTGTTCCTCATTGTCGCGTAACATCTCCTTAGAATCTTTACTGATGTCCACTTCTTTCCTCTTTCGAGCTTTTCTCGGAGATGTACGCTCCACGTGCGAATGACTCTCCCACATTTTGGCGGGCTCTTAACTTAATCAATACCAAATGATGTTTCCTTTACCTGATGTTGACTATACTGTGGGTAGAAATGAAGAGAATGAAATTCTGAGAAACTTCTCTTTTTATAACACCCATGATGACGTAACTTATTCGACCAGTTTATCAGGTTTCACTTCTTCAACAACCTCTGGTTTAACAGGTTTTTCCTAAATTCAATGAGCTTATTCCGTTTTGACTGGTTTTATCTTGTCTGACCTGTTTTTATCCAGATGGTTGATAACGTCACACTCTAGTTTAACAAGTTCTTGCTAAATTCAATGCATCAATGCTGCTTAGACCGGTTTTATCTTGTCAGACCTGTTTCTAACCAAATAGTTAGTGACGTCACTCACATTCTCTATATATGTCCCTCGTTTCTTGCCTGTTGTTCATTTATTTAGAGAAGTCTACGGGTATGGATTGGGAAGGAAAAGTAGAGAGCATGAGACAAATGCTAGAGAAGATGAATATCTCAGATGATTGGTTGCAGTCTGTATTGAATGAGGAAAGTGATGGGAGCATCTCTCTGAACCACTCACCACAACCCATGGAGGTTGCTGAATGTTTTCAAATACACTATGGGGGTAGAGGAAACATGGTTACACACGTGGCCTTAGCTTGCGCCTACTACGATATCCAATCGACTCGTTTCAGACGAGAAGGCACTCAGCTTAATCTTCAAGAACTGACGAAGGTCATTGAAGATAAAAAGAAAGCCCAGTTGCAGTTGACGCGTTGGTCACCTCTTTTGGCGCTAGAAGGGAGGACGAGTCATTTGGATTATTTGTACTTCATGGTGAAAAAAGCAGCTATCCTCCTAGCTTTCGGACATTTGAATGAGATTAAAGATGAAATGCAAGGCAATCCAGGTTGGGCTGTAAAATTTGCCTTAGATACTGGGTTGAAGTCCGTTTTCGTCTTTGATGGGCAATGGTTCACCTATAACCACGGCCAAAAACGATTTTTACCATGTCCTCGACCGTATTTGTTGCCCGTTGTCACTTGTATTGTCAGCTGTGAAGAACCAACCAGAGAGATGCACATAGCTTTGCATGAACTGTTTTTCTCTGCCTTTGGTAAATGAAACTTTTAGATTAACATTTAGAACACAAACTTTGTTGTATTGGGCTAACAATTTTTATGAGTATGTGCTGTTCTTTAGAAAGTAGTCGCTGAAAACACCATTTACATTTTGTGTTCTTGACATATGGTTTTTGCAGCTCTTTTTTAGAAATAAATATAATATTCTGAATCTCATCCGCTTTCTCCATTTTTGTTGTTGATATCTTTTTTAAATAAGATCTCACGCGTTTCACAGTGAGTCGAGTTGGGAGCTTAACTATACTCTCTAGCTCCCTCTTGTAGCTCTCGGAACGACCTTTGATAAAAATTACAAGGCTTACAAGTTTGGGCCGTAAAAATTTGCCTTGTAAACTGGATTGAAATTCATTGAATGGTTTACCTACAGTCACAGCCAAAAACGATTTGTGGAAAATGCCATGTGTCTGTCTGAAATACAGTGTGTCCCTTCGAAATACGATGTTTCCGTTCGAAATATCACGCGTCTGCCTTACCCTATGGAATTAAGCTGTCTTTAGTGAAAATGCGATGCCTCGAGTGGAAATACGATGTATCGAGAGGACATAGGATGTGTCTGTCGGAAATACGATATGTCTGTCCGAAATACGATGTAACTCATCGAAATACGCGGGGTTTTTTTAAATCTGGTATATCTGTTGGAATTACGCTACATGTGTTAAAAATACAATGTATCTGTGGGAAATACAATTTGTCTGTCCGAAATACGATGTGTCTGCTTGAAATGCGTCGTTTCTGCTCAAAGTACTGTGTCTTTTTGAAATACACTGTACCTGTTTGAATTACGCCATTTCTGTTGGAAATACGATGTATTTGTTGGAAATACAATGTATGTGCTGGAAATACGATGTATCTGTAGGGAATAAGGTGTTGGAAAGGTTGCAGGGGGTTACAAATACGAAATATGCGGAGCCACTTGTTCAAACTACGAGTTCAAGGTTGCTACGGTTGCAAAGGTTTCAAGGGATTTAAAAAAAGAAATATCCTGAGCTTGTTTAAAATTGGAGAAGTTGTAAGTGATGACGGTTATAAAGGTTGCAAGGGGTTATAATCACGAAAAACCAGTAGCCACTTGTTCAAGTTGTTGGTGGTGATGATGATGATGGTTGCAATGGTTGCAGAGGTTGCAATGGTTGCAGAGGTTGCAATGGTTGCAGAGGTTGCAATGGTTGCAGAGGTTGCAATGGTCGCAAGAGGTTAAAAACACGAAATATGCGGTGCCGCTCGTTAAAAAAACAAGAGATTTTGCTAGTGCAGATAGTTACAATGGTTGCAGTAGTTGCAAAGGTTGCAGGGGGTTAAAAATACGAAACACGCGGAGTCGTTTGTTCAAAAGACGACAATGTGATGGTGATAACGGTTGCAGTGGTTGCAAAGGTTGCAAGGTGGTGAAAAACAAGAAATACGCGGAGCAGCTGGTCCAAAATATGAGAAGTTGTTAGTGGCGGTGGTTGCAATGGTTGCAGAGGTTACAAAGGTTGCAAGGAGTTATAATCACGAAATATGCTGCACTTTTTCAAAATGCGAGAATATGTTGGTGATGACGGTTGCAGTGGTTGCAGAGGTTTCAAAAGTTGCATCGTGAGCTTGTTTAAAATGGGAAAAGTTGTTGGTGGTTATGGTTGCAATGGTTGCAATAGTTGCAATGGTTGCAATGGTTGCAATGGTTGCGAGGGTTAAAAACACGAAATGTGCTGAGCTTGTTTAAAATATGAGAAGTTGTGGTTGTGGGTAATCGTTGTTGTAATTGGTACAGCGGTTGCAATGGTTGCAGGGGTTGAAAAGGTTGAGGGGTTTGCAAAATCTGCGGTGGTTAAAAGCACGAAACACGCTGAGCTTGTTCAAAATACGAGAAGTTTGAGAGGTTTTACGTACCTTATATAAATTTCAAACATTTTACAATGAAAAATACTAAGCAATAAAGATAAAAAACACCTACTGTTTATATCTGTTTCTGTTTTATCTGTTATCTGTTTACTGTTTTATCTACTGCAAGGATCGTGCATCATATGTATAAAAAACACCATTGCAAATTAAAGATAAAAGGTGAAACAAACAAAATTTAATTCGTAACAATGAACTTCTGTCTTTTGTCTACGTTAATTTTGGCAACTAACTGTTTCTAAACAATTTTGTCAGTGTTTAAGCATACGAAGAATGATCTTCAAGCCCATCATTTCTAACTTGCATGCCAACCGGGGCTGTTCTTAGTTCCTAATGGCTCGTGTTCAGTTATACACCGAAGCTGGGTTCCTGTAACTGCTAAAATAGTTCGTCTCATTCCGAGCAGAGTTAATAGAGGGAGCAGTGTGAAATGAATCTGTGGCGAGCACTGCGGTGTTCTTTAGTTTGGATTTTGTTTGAGGAAAAAAACATTTGCCTTTCAAATTGAGCTGTGTCTTAGTACATTTAATTCTCAGGAGGATACACTCTCGTTTTCTGTAGGTTTTTCTTGACAGTTTCCATAAGAGAACCACAGGCGATTTCCAAGACGTGAGCGACTGAGCGGGTCGACGTTTCTTCTTGAAACTAATTTTCCTGACTTCCTATCTCTAACTCTCTCCCAACAGAAGTATCTCCTTCCCCTGAAGATGAGCCATGTTTAGTTTGAAACACAAATGGATGTATTACATCCTCTCGGCTAGATTAAAAACCGAATCGAGAACTTAATAGGTAGCGCCCTCCTCGCCGCTGTTTTCCTTGCTTACATCCACTTCAGCAGGGATTTCATTTAGCATGCTTAACTATTGATAGGTCAGTAGTTTCGTCCTAACAAAGATGGCGGATTTCAATTTGAAAATGCCGATTTTTGGAACATAATTGTTCGCAACTAAAACGCTTTTAGCTCAATTGAATCGCCAGTTAGGACAATGCAAGCAAGGAAATTTTGAGAAAGGTAAGCTTAGGTAAACTTTCTCGAGACCGTGCTTTCCCTTTAAGCGCAAACTACATATAATTATAGAACGAACAAAGAACGTTCCATCTTTAATAGCCGTAGTAAGAGCCGTAGTAAGATTGCTTATTTAATATGCAAAGGCACATTTCAACGACACGGGAACATGTGGCACCATGTGACATAAAATTTTTGCGGTTTGTTCAGTTTGTTGCGTTCTTGTAGTTGACAACCATCATGATGAAATATAAAGTAAAGTTATGGAAGAGGAGTCGGATCATCACAATTATTAAGCTGATAAAAACTTCAAAAGGCCTCCTTCGCGCGCAACGAATAAATTTTAATTCATATTGTTACAGAAATCTAATGGCCATTCTGAATAGTAACCCCACCAAGAGAATATGCGCCCATCCAAATAAACATGCAAGCAAACCGAAACTGAAATTTCTGGAAGACCGGTCACGTGAACACGTGTTGGGAAAAGAAAGCGCGGGGCAATGGCGCACACTGGAGCAGCGCGGGTGAGTGTGACTTTTTATTATATTACGTAGTGCAATTTAGCAATCTAGGTGAGAGTAGCTCTATCAGTTCTCACCTGCGCAACAAATCTCCTTTTGCCGTGAGCTTTCCCCTCGTGACGAGAGAATTTTCACATTTCTGTGTCATTTGCGAACATCGGTCGAGGAATCGTCGAGTTGGTCGTTTCCTTGAGCCTTCCATCAAAATATAAACCGCTGTTCGGTCGTTTCACCCGCAGGTTGGAGGTCTTGTGGCTCGGCATGGAAGTAAAGTAATATCAAAGAATAATTTTTCATTTTCTGACAAGGATCGCAAAATTTGAGAAGAACGGGAGACCAGCAAAAGTTCTTGATGGGGCAACATGGCGCTTTCGGGCTCAAATGGATGGTCGAAGGCGCGGATTATTTTCTCAAGGGGTAGCATCATGTTACTCAATGTTTTACTCAATTGCATTTTTTCAAGATTTAGCTGTATCTCGTGACTGCGAACGGTTTGCAGAACTTTTTACGGGCGATCATGCTATCTTTGATAATAGACGATCGACTTCCGGGTGAAATACAACAGTGGTGCTTTCGATTTACGCCAAGTTTTTACCGTGATCAAGGAACTAAACTGTCACTGGATTATAGTGGATAACCATTCAACCCTTCGGAAAATCAAGCTCCCGGAGTAAATAGTGTTTGCGGGCGAAAGTTCAAGCACACTTTCGTCCCAAATGGAAGAATTTCACCGCACTTTATAGAGTACGTACATAATATGTTGCGTTCAATCTAGTGAGGCATATTTGTTCAACCTCACTCTCATATGGTCGCGTCTCGTTTGCCTTAGAGAAAGTATCCTGGTTTTGGCTTGTAAGTCATTTTATAAAAATCTAATTCATGCTGCCCAAAGCTGATCTCAGCTAGTTCCTTGAAAACGAATTTGCTCACACAATTTCCTAGCTACTAATCAAAGCCAATCGGTAATCACAAGGTTGTTGTTTGGAAATTGATAATGTTGATAGGATCGGAGTGGAGTCCTTTTGCAAGGTTTGTTATATTCATATGAAAATGAAATTTATTGGCATATAACCCATGTAGTTGACTTATGGACAGGTGTAACTACCAATATCAGGTGTCCAATTACAACCAACTGTTCAATTACATTTTTTATTACAACTCCACAAACTTATTAATGAAAAATAAAACCATTCATCTACCTTTAAAATTCAAGGAAGTAAATTGTAATCATGAATATGATTGATATGGGAGTATTATATCCATGTGCTGAAAGGTTTCCTCTGATTTTAATTTTTAGTGCTGTTGTCTTTGGTATCAGACTGAATGTTATTGTGATTACTTTTGGTAGTCATTAACTTGTTAGCTGTTTTTTAATTGCTAGTGGCTGCACATTTTATCTATACAGGGGAATCAATTCCACATGAATAAGGGAACCACTCAGATCCTCAAAGATGGAACACCAGAGTATTTCCTAGACTGCACCCTGAAGATAATTGGTGAAGTTCAAGGTGCCCAAGGCTCTGAATGTCTCTTTGTATGTGTATGTGAAGCAGAAAGACCTAGAGTTAAAAGCAGTTTAAAGAAGTATGTTTTCTTTAAAGTTGTTTTCATTGAAAGTCATTGCTGGTTTTTTTTTTTTTTAGTGAGGAATCCTATCTGCAATTTAATGTTTTTATTCTGGAGATATTTACATGTGAATATTTCCAGCGATCATATTTTTTTCAGAAATTGCACCTAGGTGACACATAAATTAGTGGATCTTTCCAAAAGAATTAAGAGAGGTCATATTACGATTTCAGAGTTATTGTCAGTAGTGTAGAGGTCAACTTGTAAAGTGTCACTCAAAAAATTACTGCACATGGTCCTGGTAGGAAAGGCAGGTTCTCATAGCTTATTACAGTATGGACTATAATTTAGGAAGAAATATTTATAACATATTTATTATATCTCTGGATTAAATTGTGTGGCAAGATTTCAAGTCAAAAAAATCTTTTTTATTTAGTGGGCTGTACAGTGAAATACAGCCTGCTAAATTGACCAATCACAGCCCTTGCACCAACTGAGAGATTAAGAAAGTCTCAGTGTAAAACCTTAAATATTAGTGTAATATTATGAATTGACATTTGATGTCTCTTTTGGTTTTTGCTTTTTAGGAGAATACTTCTGCCCGTAAGTGCATTTGATGGGAAACCAAAATTCATACAGTCCCTCAGGGATGCATTTGGCTCTGGTTCTTTTATTCTCAATGGTACTCCAAAGGATGTAAGCGAATTTGGAAGATTTTTGAAAACTGCTTACTACGATGGACCAGAAAAGATTTTTAAAGTTATAAATCATATTGGCCATCAGTCAAATGGATATTGGGTTCTCACAGATGAGGTGAGATTGATGGATGGTGAAGTTGAATCAGTCTATTATTAATGGTGGCATTTTTGCTTTTGGTTGCGAAACCTTAGTTTTGAAATTATGAAATAGTGTGGTCTATTTATGTGATATGCCTGAGATCCTTGCTGAGTATTAAAACTTCTTGTTTGTCAGGTCCATCTCAAAGGCTCAAGACTTGTTCCCGAAGAGGAACAAGATTATGTCTTAGAGGGAAAGAAAAGCAAAAATCTTTGTCTGAGGAATTACTTCATCGATGTCGCAAGCCATCTTGTTAAATCTCCTAGCGAACATCAGGAAGCAATGAAAAAGTAAATAATTTTGTCAGAAATTCATCATAATGGATAATGTATTATTATTAGCTTTTGTTTGAACAGGCCTTGTCTGGTGGCCTCTTCATTGAATTAAAGTTCATCACTTTTTGGTTTGGTACTATATTTAACCTCTGAGGCATGGGTGACATGTAATATCCTATTAATTTTGTTATCTAAACTCCTTTCAGAAATTGATATCTGTTTTCTGCTAGTGTGCTGCTTTTGGGGTGTGTTTGTTTTTCAGTTTGAATGGAGTTAAATTGACACACATCTCCTGTGCCTTAATTTAACTCTATTGTGTTACATTACTCTAAGTTCTTGAGACTTTTGGATCAGTAAAAGTCTTGAAAAAAATTGCTACAAGGCTCTTGTTCACTTGACTGGCTTGAAAAGAATTGCTTTTTTGAATAGTCTATTTGTGGAATTTAACTAATTTGGAAATATTTTTAAAAAATATCCCTTATTAAGCAGGGTGTCCAGTTCCTATTTTTTCCTATTTTTTGGACCCATTCCTATTTTCTCCTATTTTTTAACCAGAACCTCCTATTTTTCCTATTTTTTAGCCAGTAAAGCCAAAATTTGTAATAAAATTGAAAGTGGAATTATAGTTGAATGTGTTTTATAGTGAGATCATAAAGCACATAGTACGTTGACTCTGATGTTCTAATATTAGTTAAAGTAATAGCCACATTTGTTCTACGAAAGCCAGATCACTACAATTCTGTGAAACAGAAATAAAAACATATATTGGTGGCGAGAAAAAGAGAGATAAGCGACAGATATATGGCCTACTTGTCAACGGAATGGACCTCTGTCATTACACAAAACAGGTCAAGTCGAGAGCGGGTGAAAGATTCATTCACGAGGCTTATTCATTCATGTCAGTGTCATTGTATACATATCTATGTATATATGTATACCTTTATTTGCAACTTTCTTTGGATCATATTAATTCCGTCCGTTTGGGGTGAATTGTTAGAGGTACGTTAGCACAGCTTAGCAAAAATCTCATGATCATGCATTCTTTGTCATTGCGAAATAATTAAAAATAATTTTATCAAACTTAGAAGCTGTAGTGTGTGAATCTTATGGCTTGCTATTTACCTAGTCTCCTCTAGGGCATTATCTCAGAGAGCTCTTGGTAAAAAAGTGGAATAAAGCTTACATTTTACTAAGTTATTTAAACTTTTAGGGCAATGTTTGTGTCAGGACTGAACACGGCAAGCTTCTGTTCCGAATAATTAAATTCTAGTCTGGATCCGTTTAACTTGAAGAAGACCATCATTTTATTTATTTATCTATTCTTCAACTTTAAAATATTATGGAACATAAAGTTAAAACTCTTGACAGCCAAAGATAAGAGATGCAAAATTACTCGCTGAAATTATGTGGCCGGCTTACCGAGGCTGCCAAGTAACAAGTTGAAATCTTGAGCGTACTCCACCCGATCGCTCTTGCATTTATACTAAAAAATTAGCTCTAATTGATGTCCTTATTGATGTCCTTCATCGATGAAGACCAGAGAATTACGTCTTGGCAAACAAAAATCAAACATGACTTCATTGAAACCTCGGTCACCTCTTCTTTCCTGTCTTCCTTTTTTCCATCGGCTAGACTTGAATTGTTCAGCGGCAGACGTCTCTTGCGTTAACGAGTAGGCCATATATCTCTCGCTTGTTTCTTTTTTTCTTGCCACCAAGATTTGTTTATATTTCTGTTCACCGAATTGCGGTGAGCTGGCTTTTGTACTCGGTTTCAATGTGAAGTTTGGGCAAACATGTTTGCCGCTTTTCTCCAGCCATCGTCCACTTGTCGAGCTTCTGATGCTTCACAAACCTACAAAATCATCCTGTTTCCTTGAAGATATACGCGTCCTTTTTGATTGCGAACAGCAAATCACCACTAAACATTAAAAGCAGAAGGCATCCCACGTAATTGTATTTAAAACGGAGTTCGTACAAAGCTATTTTAGGTGGAATCCGTGCTTAAACATCTGCAAGTTCTCTGAAAGTCTTTATTTGCAATTTTTGTTTATCCTCCGCCTCGCTTTCATGACTAGGCACCAGTTTTTTCCCGCGTGTCCGCCATTTGTGAATACGGTGTATGAAAATGCCTGGCGGTAGAACAAAGTTTAGCAATGCATGGCTTTCTGCCGTCGATTCCAATGGTCAAAGATTGAGTTCTTGGTGTCGTAAAGGAGTAGATGACTACCATGCTTACTGTAGGTTTTGTGATAGTGAGTTTCTTTGTGACAACTCTGGAAAAGCGCAGATATTGCAACATGCGAGGAAAGCAAAGCATGTTCAGGCTGTTAAACCTGCAAGGGATGAGTCTCAAGGAAAGTTGTTTGTACTGCAGAGTCAACCAAGTGCAGGCATCTCAAACCGTTGTGATCTGCCAGAGCACAGGAGAAGTTCGTCTGGACAGCTGTCCATTATCAATTACAAAAATGCCAGCTTGCAAGCAGAGGTGATTTGGTTAGCAAAGTTGGCGTCATGTAACTTTAGCTTTCGCTCAGTTGACAATCTTGGCAACACATTTAAAGCGATGTTTCCTGACAGCAAGATTGCTTCAAGTTTTTCAATGGGTAGAAGCCGTGCATCCTATGTTATTGGGGAAGGCTTGGGCCCTCACTGCACACAGGTATTATATAAAGTGCAATTTGAATACGCAAATTATGAGTGCATATTTATGTGTGATTCTTGATATCAATGAAAGTTTATGTCAGTATTTCATCTTTTAATTTGGTGTATGAATAAAAAAAGGTAACTTACTATAAGTGTTTGTGTTTCTATCACCAGATAATTGTTGATGATGTAAAGAAGTCAGAACTGCCTTTTTGTTTACACTTTGACGAAACCTCCACCACGCAGGTCAAGAAACAGATGGATCTTACCTTTCGTTACTGGTCCCCGACTCATAATGAAGTCTGGATAAACTTCTATACCTCTTTATTTTTTGGTCATGCAGAGGGTGAAAAGGTGGCTAACCGTATCTTCCAAACAATGTTGAAAGATGACCTTCCAATAACGAAGCTGTGCACTTTGGTAAGAGATGGCCCTAATGTCAATAAAACCATTGTTAGAAAGTTGGAAGGAGCAATCAAAAATGACAACCCAGACTTTAGTGGTTTTATTGACTTAGGAAGTTGTGTTCTTCATAACGTCCATAATGCTTTTGGCAGGGGTTTAGAGGAATATGGGAAAGACATTGAACAGCTTTGTGTGGACATTCACTCCCTTTTCAAGTACAGTGCAGCTAGACGAGAAGACTATCACACTTTACAATCTGCAATGGGTGTGGAGATGCACAATTTCCAAAAGCATACCGAGGTGAGATGGCTTAGTCTGGGCCCTTCTGTGCGAAGAATTTTGGAGCAGTGGGATTGCATCTGCAGCTTTGTGAAGGATCTGGGAAAGGATCCCAAAACAGCTCCTAAGAGTGTTGCTTACAAGAGGGTATCGGCAATGTTAAATGACGAAGAAGGAAAGAAAACAAAGGCACAGTTGGAATTTGTGGGTAATGTTTCACCTGTTTTTGAAGATTTCCTCACCATTTTTCAGAACAGCTGCCCACAGGTTCACCTTTTATATGATAAAATGTCTGAGTTCTTGCGCAAGCTTATGGGTAGATTCCTAAAGAAAGATGCGTATGAGAAGAAGTTTGGTAGTGATCTAGTCAGTATTGACTGCAGTGCAAACAGTCAGCTGCTCGATGCTGATATTGCAATTGGAGAGGCGACCAAGAAGGCTTTAGCCCAAATCAAGCCAGATCGTAGAAAGTCTGTATATCTTGGCATCCGCACATTTTATAGCACATCCCTTACATATCTACAGTCTCATCTCCCTCTTCAGAACACTCTCTTAAAAGCATTAGGATGTCTCAATCCTGTCAAGAGAGAAAAGGCAAGTAGTGTGAAGGCAATTGCACTACTGGCTAAAAAATTGCAGCCTCAGTTGGATGTCAGCATTGTTCAAGATGAGTGGCGAGTTTATGCTGTCGATGAAGATGTTGAGCAGTTACACAAAGAGAAACGCGTTGACCATTTTTGGCAAGAAGTATTCAATCTCAAGTCTCTTAATGGGACCGAGCCTCGATATGTTGCTCTTCCAAAAGTAGTAAAATCAGGTCTTATTCTTGCGCAAACAAATGCTGAGTCAGAACGAAGTCTGTCAGTGAATGCCCGCATTGTGACGCAAGAAAGGACACTTCTTGGAGAGAGGACCATTGTTGGCCTTAGATCTGTGAAAGATGCTTTGAAGTTTTATGATCCTGAAAACCTGAGACCGGAAAAATTTGCCCTGACAGATGGTCTTCTAACTGCTGTGCGATCTGCGCACATGCATCATAGACAGCGGCTGGATGAAGAAGAAGCCGAGAAGAAGAGAAAGGAGGTGGATGAGAAATTGAAAGCTGAAGAGGAAGAACGAAGGAAAAGAGACCAGGAGAAGTTAAGAAAAGAGACAAGATCGTTGAGAGATAAAGGAGAGAGGCTAGACAAGAAGGAGCAGGAGGCAATGGATGAAATGCAAACGGCTAATGAGCTACTGTCAGAGGGCACATGTAAGTTGCAGGCTGCTCTATCTTCAGGTTCCAAGGTTGATTCACAAGGTGCAAAAGTTGCATGTCTCATGATTGAAACGGCCAAATCGAATCAGGCAAAGGCAAAGAGGAAGCTTGAAGCAGTAAGGGAGAAGCAAAAGGAGGTTAACATAAACAATCAGAAGTTGCTGGAGAAAGCTCTACCAGCGGATGTTTCTGCTGTACCATTAAAGAAAAGAAAGTCAAAGTAAATGTAAACTGTCATTTTACACCTCTACGCAGGTGCTCTGCCAGCTCAGTAAAGACTAAAATGTTCTTGTGTTAGCAATCATCTGCTGGATTAATGTTGAAGTTATAAACATAATGAAAAGCCAACTTTGTTTCTGAACAAAAGTGAAGGTGAAGCAGTTCAGTTGTTACTTTAAAATTAGGGAAATCAAAGTAAATAAAGTTATGTTGTACAGATTTTTTGATAGATTTATCTCAGTGAGGGATATCAGGAAGATTAAAAATTCAAACCAAAAAACTCGTTTTGTCCTATTTATGTTCACTGCTGTTGATCGACTAAAGTGGTGAATCGGGGATAGCAGCTGGCGTGTGGGGAGGCTACCTTTGTTGACGAAAGTACTATTGATTTTCCTATTTTTCTCCTATTTTTTAGTGCAAAGTTTCCTATTTTTCCTATTTTCTCAATCCTGAAATTCCTATTTTCCTATTTTTTTGGGCAACCATGCCGCTGGACAGCCTGCCTTATTCTTTGTATAGAATAATCCATGACATAATAAGTGCTCAGTGAAATGTATTTTTTTAATCTGATTCCCTCTTTTTTGCTTTGTTTCTTGATTTGAAAACTTCAGCTTTCTTTCTTTGCCTCGCTCATTCTTTGAAGAAAATGAAGACTCTTTTTTGGCTGCCGTGGCTTTTGTGCTGTGGAGACTTGTTAGTAGTGAAGACAATGAACAAGAGAATTGTAAGTCAGTCATTGGTTGTCAATATAAATGCCCCCCAATTGTATGATTTTCCCTAATTCTCTCTTGATCTTTTGCCTCCCATGCAAAACCAAATGGACATATTTGAACAATTGGTACACGTTCACAAAAAGTACCTGCAAAATTAGTGTACATTGTACGGTTTGAAAGCTTATTCAGGGCTGAAAAGAACAAATCAGAGCACATTCACTTGGTCTACTGAAATGGCATTTCTGGCCAGTCTCATTTCTGGCCAGAAATCATTTCATTTCATTTCATTTTCATTTCAATTTCAGTCTCATTTCTGGCCAGAAGTGAGGACACAGTAGTCGCTTGGTCATCGACTTTTTTCTGGCCATGCAGACAGATGTTAATGTGAAATTTCCATGTTGTTACATATTTAACTCCCAACCCTTTAGCAAAAGCAAATCACTCTATATAATGTATGGTAAATTTCTTTTGTTTTAAAATAAGATCTCTTACAACATAGATGGCATGCGGTAACAAACTGATTGCTTTTCATAATATGGCTTTTCTTGTTCAAGAGACTGACTTGAACACAATCAGTGTTTATACTTTATGACACAGTAGATTTTCATTTTGCCTGTTCCAATTGTGGCATTATTATAGTGCAACTTGAATGTTAAGTGACACAGAAAGGCCTGCCCATTTAAGTAGTCATGTGGAAGCCATGTGACTGACCCATTCAGTCGGTTCAGTAACTGGTTCCAATACGCCTTTGCTTACCAGCCGATCCAGTTCCTGTTTGACATAATTTTCAATGGCTAATGGTACTTTAGGACATGGGAGTACTTTGGGGGGTACGGACTCATCGACCCTTGGGGATGCCAATCCCAGGTCGCCCAGTGGAGGAGTAGACACCTTTGAAATGAAGGCATTGCAGTTGATGGTTATAAAACCAAGTTCCTGTATAGTATTCAGGCCAAGAAGATTAGTAAAGCCGTTAGGAACTGCAATGAATTTGACTTCATGTTGAGTGTTGTCACTTGGATTAATGGTAGTTAAAGAAGTTTCACCCAGAGGTTTGAGATTGGTCTTGTTCCACATGTTGAGACAAATGTTTGTTGCAGATACTTGCTGCCTTTCGACATGTTTTTGGCAAATTGTATTTACGTCAGCAGCACTATCCATTTGGAATTTCACAATATGATCATTGACAGAGGGATTTACAATGACTCCAGTTTCGTCATCATTAATGGTGAAAAGCCATTTGTCATCAAAGTCATTATTAGGGTCATTATGATCATCCGATTGAGACAGAACAGCATGTACTTTCTTCAAACATTTGGATTTGAAATGGTTCAGGCCTTTGCAATTATCGCATGTCTTACCCCAGGCTGGGCATTTTTCTCGTTTTCGTTCATGTTTGTATCCACAATATTTACAATCAAACTGTAAATTGTCATTACCGGTACCTGCCTTTGACATGCTGCTCTTGTTCGATCTGGTTCTCCTGTCTTGCTGTTTTGGGTTGGATTTCTAGGAGACTTTGTTCAGATTAGATGGAGTTGAATGTGAGGTGCTTCCGATGTTGTTTTTAAGCTCTTTTACTTGTTTATTTGATTGCTCAAAAGCTCTGCATATTTTCAGGGTTGTGTAGAGTGTGAGGTTGTCTTCTCTCAATAGAAGCTCTTGTAGTTTTCCAGTCACTGTGAAGACAATTTTGTCTCTCAGCATCCTATCCTTTTCAAGAAAGTTGCATGCGGTGATTCTTGTTTGTAGCTCAGTGAAGAATTTGTCGAAGGGCTCTTGATACTCGATGTTCCAGAACTGATGTGATTCCATCACCTCGTTGTCTCATGGGTTGCAGTATTTCTCGAGTGCTTCGAAGACTTTTCTGGGGTCATCTTTATTTCCTTCTATATTATTGTATACTTCGAGGAGATCATTTCCAGCACAATTCAAGATGATTGCGGTTTGGATTTGTTTTTCCTTTGCTGTTGCTCCAGAAGCGGCTAAATATACTTCGACTTGTCGTCGCCATTGTTTGAAGTTTTCTGAGATATTTCCAGAATTTATGTTGAGTAGGGGTGGTAGATGAAAATTCCCAGTTGCCATGATTGAACTTTACAATCCCGCAGCTGCCACCATGTTGATTTGTAGAGTTGACTAAAGAGAAAGAGTAGTAATTAAGCGGCAAACAAGGAGCACTAGGATTCTAGAACACAACTGCCATGTTTATTTCCACCTTGTGGTCTCTCATTACCTATCATAATTTATGCTAATTATGACAACCAGATGAGATAGCCAATCAACAATATACAATGTGTATAGCTGAAGTTATCAACAGAAATCAGGTGAACATCCTAATTAACAGACAGGCCCAACTTAATTCCCCACTCTCCCACTTATATTCATGAGTTCTCATGACTGATTAAGGTGATTGAGTTAGTTTTCTACTGAATTTAAAATGTTAAGGAAATTAGCCAGAAGGCTCATTGTTTGATTGATTATTGATTAGTTCACTAATTTCAGAATGATCTTAGATAGCCACATAGTTACAATGCTTATCTGTTTTTCTGTATTTCTATTGGTTTTGTAATTGGACCTTTCAGCGTCACCATGCGCATATAAAAGGCAAGTTTAGAGTCCCTTTAATCAGTTTGTAAGTTTTGAATAGTCTTGGTAAACTTTCGCCCTTTTGTTTTCTCAACCTCTGGCACAAGCGGGACTGATATGTGAGTACCTTTGTAACTTTGTTTTTTCCTTTCCAGTCTTTTCAGTGTTGGGCGACAATATACAAACAAATATTGCAAAGATCTCTATGGATTTAAGATTTAAAGGCCAAATTTGTGCCAATTTGTGAGTCAGTGAACGCCCATCATTTAGATAGAACAATGGGCTGTTTATTAGCCACCAAATTCTTTTAATTTGTTTCGAAACTGTTTTACTTGTATTGTTAATCTCGTCATAGACGTTAGAGCCCAGTATTTGACACTCATTTCTTTGATCATGTATTCCGCGGCTTTTCATTAGATTGATAGAACTTCGTTGTATTGTTGTTTCAGTTTATGATCGATTGTTCGATAGATTGATTGACTGTGAGAATAATTGTTATATTTGTTGTTGATTGTGGTTCGTGGTCAATTGCCTTTCAAGAATAAAGATTCGTGCAAACAGTCAACTTTGGTTTGTCATTTCGATCAGTAAAATAGTCCCAAACACCTCGTTAACCGCGTTTTGGAGCGATACGCCCTTGAACTTGATAATTTAGATTTTTGGTCGCCGCAAAGCTACATAAAATGAGGCTCTTTTTTTTCAAGGTATTAGATCTGTTATTGGTAACCAGTTGACTGGGCTGATTCGAAGTTAACCTTATAGACCACTTTCATAAATGGCTGCTGGATTAATATTCTTTTGTTTAAATTTAAATTAGCCCTACTGGCCTCGTTCTCCAGTACAAAATTCTAAAGAATACATTATCTCAAGCGAGGCCAGTAGGGATAATGTAAATTTAAACAAAAGAATATTTATACAGCAGCCATTTATGAAAGCTTGGTCTATGCTTTCAGGCTCAACCATGAGTTACATGTAGTTTTGCATGACCAGCTACATGTAGCTGTGTAAGTAAGTAAGTAAGTAAGTAAGTAAGTAAGGACTTTATTTATAGAGGGAGACAGTTAAAAGCTGCATAGCTGACAAACATGTGGCCCTCTAACTAGATTATACAACATTACAAAAAACTGATAAATAAATAAATATATCGATAATTACATGTGGCCCTATAACTAGATTATACAACATTACAAAAAACTGATAATAAATAATAGAATTCTATAATAAAATAATAAAATTTTATAATAGAAATAGCAGGTTAGATTAAAAATATTGAGAAAGATAAAATTAATTTATAAAAAATTAATGTGACTGGCATGTATTAATGTGACAGAGTCACTTAGGCTTATTTTCTACTTAACACATGTTTGTTCTGTTTATTTTATTTTCTGGAATTTTTTGTGATCTGTCAGTAATTTTAGTAATGTGTTAATTGTGTTAGTAATGTGTTAATTGTATTAGTAATGTGTTAATTGTATTATTCCTTTAGTGCCCTTGTCCTGTTGTGTAAGAGTAAACACCGATTTCCCTTATGTAATTCCTGTTTCGTTGACCGCTCCTAACCCAGATTTGGTTTTAAGTTATTTTTACCTTTTCCTGTATTTTACTATAAGTTACAACCATTTGCTCGGTAAGTTCAATTGATTTGTTGCCTTCCTGAGAGTGCCCTTAAAGCGGATTCCGAGCTATACTAGCTTTTGGTTTGTTTCAGTATTTCATGTTTGTTTGAGCCCTAAGCTTAGCCTGTAGTTGTTTCCATTTGTATTTTTGTAGTGATTTTCGGGTTGGAATTTGCTTAGTTTAGCCACATATTCCTTTTGTCTTACTACTGTATTTTATTTGTTTACTCTGACCTTTGTCACACAGCGTGTAATTTCTCTGCTATATATGAACTGCGATTGTTTTCGTATTAGCAGCTGTAATATTTTGCTTACCTGCTTCCAATTCATTGTTGCTATGATTGCTGTGTTTTCAGTACGAAATTATGGGTTCATTACGCTAGTAATTCCATTTTCCCCTTTCACTGTTTTATACTGTATTAGCTTAAGTTGTAATATTAAGCCTAGCTCGTAGTCTTTGTTGAATTCATGCCTTGTGTAGCAATCACTATTATATGATAGTTTCTGTCGCACAATTTCCTGTTTTCAAGTACTTTGTTTGTTTCCTTTCTTTTACTGAATTATTTCTGTCTGTAGGTTATCCTTTAGTGTTAATTACTTTCTCCTAATCCATTTTAATCTTGTTACAACATTAGCTCATTGGAGCTTTGTTTTCTTATTTATTGTTTAGTGTCACTCGTTCCCGTTTTTTTTGTACCGTTGCATTTATTTGCTGTGTAATAAACTTGTAAATCTTCCCTTGGATCTTTCGTTCTTACATCGACCGTTGGGGCCGTCTTACATTAAGTTGTTGTGATGGCCATTTATATAATGAGCTGTTCCTGTAGACAATTAACTCTTAGGTCCTTTGAACATTCTTTTATGTATAAACAGGTGATGCAGCCAACATTGGCCTCGTGTACAGTCCAGCACGTAGTATTGGCAAAACTACAACTTTGAAACTAATAGCGTATGGACAAGGAATTATAGGGAAAAAAAATCCTCTGTTCATGTCACTTGGTGATCAACAAAATAGTGGTACATCAACGTAAGCCTGAGAGAACTTGATTTATATAAACTCTGGCATATAAGCCATGCTCAAAAATGAGCTGCACCCTAAGCTTTACAACTCAAATTTTGGAAAAAAGAAAGAATTTAAAAGAAATCTAATTACAAGTGGATAAGTCATAAGAAAGTTGCTTGGCATATTGGTAAATGCTTCATCAAACATTAACAGCCACTTAAAAACTCGCTTATATTGAAAACAGAGAATACCTTAAATCTTGATCCATGATTATTTTAGCTGTATGTAATTATGGACATCCAGATCTTCTGACTTAGACTAATGTTATGTTTGATCTTACTCTGATATTCATCAATCAGTATTTTTTCATTCCTGCTAGTTTTTTGAGCTTGTTTGCCAGTTTGTATGGTACCCCTAGTTACTTTAATGTTAAATTGTTGATTTTCAGCTGATTATGCTCAAAAGTTGTTGATAGGTTCTAGCAGGACACCCTGTGTGTTACAGTCTAACAAAGACATGGTCATGACCTGATAGGCTTGCCATCTTTGATAAGTCAAATACAGTCATGTGCATAATTATGTTCCTTTACATTATTAGGAAATTTACATTCATTTCCTGTAGAACTTCATTTTGTTCATGGCTTGCCAGGAGGAATCTTTTCTTGTTAGCTCCTTAAAATATTGCACAGAGTGACGAAATAACTTCTTATGTACAGTGTTTAATACTTTGCAATAAATTTTATTTAATTTTCTTGAGTTATGGTTCTTAATTAACTCACTCTACAATTTTCCTTTTTTTTTTGAACAGAAAGTTAATGTTGGAAGAACTGTCTAAGACAAGTTTAGTGGTCTTGTTAGATGATGGCCATTTTTCTGGCCGGTTGAACGAGTTCCTTCTTCAAGTACAAGGGGGACTTTCACAAGGCTCTTTAACACAGGGAAAACTTTTCCCACATGGCAGTGTGCTCCTTGCTTCTAATCAGGTGGAGGGTGAGAGGTGAGCTATTACAATGTAGTTAATATTAATTATTACATTATTAATTAATATATTACATTGTAATATTAATATTACAATGTAGTTAACAGAGATAGATATACTTATACTCCATCTAATGTGGATCAAGGCAGCCACTGTAATGTTACTGTTAAAGTTTGGTTTAATTAATGTATGGCTTAATATAATTATGGCTTAATATATGGCTTTAGGACCTCCATCCTATGTGCTTTGGGACTCTGTTCTGGCCTTAACAATGATCATTCAGAGACCCTTGGCAGGGAATTTGTTGCTTTTTGAGCTGTAACATAATTTTTATCACATCACTCTGTTTTGCTTTTTTGTATACAGGCGTTATTTTGAGATACAATGAATATATGAAGTTCATATATTTTGAACTGCGGTATTAGATACGTATGATGCACGATCCTCACAGTAGATAGCGCTATTTATGCAATAGCAAAAATCAGACCTGAAAAAAATCAGGCCTGTATGGGACTCGAACCACTGACCTCTGCGATACTAGTGCAGCGCTCTACCAATTGAGCTAACAAGCCAACTGGGAGCAGGCCGTTAAGTTGATTCGTAATAAACCCGTGAAAGTGATAAATGAGATACCATGAATATATGAAGTTCATATATTTTGAACTGCGGTATTAGATACGTATGATGCACGATCCTCGCAGTAGATAGCGCTATTTATGCAATAGCGAAAATCAGACCTGAAAAAAATCAGGCCTGTACGGGACTCGAACCACTGACCTCTGCGATACTAGTGCAGCGCTCTACCAATTGAGCTAACAAGCCAACTGGGAGCAGGCCGTTAAGTTGATTCGTAATAAACCCGTGAAAGTGATAAATGAGATACAATGAATATATGAAGTTCATATATTTTGAACTGCGGTATTAGATACGTATGATGCACGATCCTCGCAGTAGATAGCGCTATTTATGCAATAGCGAAAATCAGACCTGAAAAAAATCAGGCCTGTACGGGACTCGAACCACTGACCTCTGCGATACTAGTGCAGCGCTCTACCAATTGAGCTAACAAGCCAACTGGGAGCAGGCCGTTAAGTTNTCACGGGTTTATTACGAATCAACTTAATGTCCTGCTCCCAGTTGGCTTCTTAGCTCAATTGGTAGAGTGCTGCACTAGTATCGCAGAGGTCAGTGGTTTGAGTCCCATACAGGCCTGATTTTTTTCAGGTCTGATTGTCGCTATTGCATAAATAGCGCTATCTACTGTGAGGATTGTGCATCATACATAGGCATTATTTTGTTTGTAATTTCAATATTTTTAGCATATGCTACTCATAACAAGTGATACTTTTTATAAGCACAACCATTGTAAAGACTTCTTAGAAATTTCAGTTTATAACTGCCAGAATGTTTTTAAATCTATACTCAGACAAGTTAGAACAGAGGCATTGTTACACAGGGAGGAGGGGGGGGTTGTTATATGATTGTCAAAGTGGTTGTTATTGGGGGAAGTGGGGCTTTTGAGTTGCAGGGACCTTTAACTCCCATGACTGAACCAAGATCAGTTGATCTAATACTAAATACTCCATGCTAACATCATATGAATTGCATGGCAGACAATGGGGAGAATTACTAACATGATCTTGGGACCATAATTAGATATAATTATGGTATATCAACTTTTATGGTGAATCCTAAGTACAATATCTTCTTACTATTATTATAATAATAGTTATTATATGATGTGTGAATCTTGTGTTTTATATTGAAATTTATCATTTTTTCTAGACTCAGTGGAAGGGTTATAAGATTCCCCTTCCAAACTTCAGGTAGTGGATTCTGTAAGGAAAAAGAAAAGTTGTTGGAAGACTTTATGGCTTTTATGAAAAACAACAAGGTATTTAAACTGTTTGTTGTAGCATTTGTCACGTTTTGATCCTCTCTCTCAATTTCCAAATACATTTAGCACTCCACTAATTTATATTAGTATAATTTCAGAGCTGAGCAAAGAGTTTCCAGCAATCTGATTGGTGGAGCAGTTCCTTATATGACACTATATAAACCGCTCCACACAGCTTATATAAAACGTTAAAATAAAATGTTACTAAAATGTTATGATTGTAGAAATTTCTCTGTTGTTCAGCTCTGAAATCATACTAAAACAATTATTTGCCTCAGGTTCGGTGAATATTGTGGAATAATCCCCTCAACTTTGTCTCAGGGATTATTCGATGATATTCACCAAACCTGAGGTGAATAATTGTTAAATATAAGTTAGTTGAAATGGGGTAATCATTTGCATAGTATACTATAGTAGTGCTCTATAGTCTTTTTTTTTTAAGAATTTCCTCTGGTTGTTGAAAGGTTATAGCCCTTGAGATGTATGAGGTGGCTTGTAAAGTTGAAACTTAGTTTTTTGGGCAACTGAAATTTCCTGTATGTCAACTATTTTTTACAACTTCAGTTGGTCTAATAGAGGGTTAATGAATTAGTAGCTGAACTTGAACACAAATATATTGCTGTGTTCCAGAAAATTTCAAACTCTTCCCAGCTCATGTAGGGTTTGATTGTAAGCAGACACCATTAATGACACTCTCAAGAAATAGTAAAACCATGCAGCCTTTGGTTTTATCTTTGATGCATAAAAAGTACAGTTAAGCAGCATAAATTACAAACCAAAATCTAATGAGGCATGAGAATACAGACTTATCCTTTTATTTACTGTAGGTAAATACCATATGCAAGGTTTGAATTCTAAATACTGCAGAGCTATTGCAGTTTTTGTACAAGTTGCTAACATTTTGCTAATTTCTTTTTATTGTTGATTTTTTTACTTTGAATCAGGGACTGCTCACTTTGTGGGCAGTCAGGCATGTTAAACTGTTCAAAGACTGTACTGAAAAAGATGTAGATAAAGACATTGGGGAATTGCTTACAGTGGTTTTACGTGGTACTGTCGATGTTGTGAGCCAAGCTCGTTGGGTGAAGGCGCTGGCCAAAATTATCCTGACACAGGCTTTGGTAAGACCTGATCAAAGTTCAATGGCTAATTTGCCTCTGCCTCCAGTCTAACCCTACTGGATAATAATTTTATGGTCTTCTGCATAATTTATATGTCATCTTGAGAGCTGCATGTATACTTTGTTTAATTTTGAAAACTAATCATTGAGCAGGAAAGGATAATTCAAAGACATAAGTGTCAACATATTTGTTTCAAGACCCACCATTCTTGTATATTGCTTTTTTTTGTTATAATTTTTCTTGGCCTAGTCTCCACTTGCAGCCGTTCTTTGTCTCAGGATCCCTGTGTCTCCCTCCCCACAGACACAGGAATCCCTTCCTGATTGGTGGGTCCCAAACATCTGCTCAACGCTCATTGGTTGAAGGAAACAAAGGGAATGGAATGTTTGGTCAACATGAGCAGCCATTTGTGGGGAGGAAGATAGGGATCCCGAAACAAAGAACAGCTGCGAGAGGAGACTGTGCTTGGCCAGGTGCAGCTATTTATTTTTTTAATTCTGAGAGATGTTTAGGATAAAGGCCTTTGAATGCAAACAACCAGAATCAAATCAATAAGGTGAAGTCAACAGAATTGAGGAATGTGCCAAAGATGAGAATTTTTAAATGTTTTAGTAATAAGTTGTTATGATGTTGGACCAAAAATGTTGCATAAACAAATCAATTGTCCATACTATTGTTTGTATTTGTGTGGCTCCCTGCTTGGCTGAGGCTAAATTGATGACATGGACTTAGTTCTTTAAGAAAAAATTAAAAATTCCCATTAAAAGACATTTCACACTGAGTATGTCATGTTAAGTTTCTTTTTTTTCTTTTAACAAAATATATACTTAATTTTAGGCAAAATCAGCTGAAAAAGTAGAGTTAATGAGTTGGAGTTAACGACAAAATGCCAAAAATAAGGCAGTTTTTGAGCAAGAAGAAAAATTGGGTCCAGCCATGCAGCAAACACTCTTGTTATTACTTGTTATTATTTTTGTGTATAACAATTTTAATTACCTTCACTTTTAAATTTTTATTTTGCAGTTATTTATAACATCAGGCATTCAATGTGACCTAGTTTCAATTTTCAGAAACTATGTCAACCTGCAATGTAATCTCTTGTCAGTGCTGAAGAAACTCCAGCGGTGCATTTATGATCAGATAAAGGAGGACCATTGCAAAGGATCTAATGTAAGTTTATCAAACATTGCTGTACATGTATGCTGTATGGGTATTATAGAGTACAAAACACTCATTTACATTGGTTTTTTAATATGTACCCATGATAGAAAATTGGTTAGTGATTATTTTCTTGAAAAAAAAAAGTGCCCATAAGTTTTGGGTAGCATAGTTTCTTATTCAGAGTATCAATTAGTTTCCAATTAAGAATATCATGTGCTCATTTATCAGTCTGATTTTATATGGTAATGTAATATTCACCTAAAGGGGTTACAACATAAAAAAATGACAACTTTGCAGCCAGCATGTCTATTTTCAGCTGAACCTTTAAAGTCATTTTCTTTGACCTATTTGCAGTCACAGCTTGTTGTACTCACTACACACAACTTCGAGTAATAAAAAATGAATGCATGCAAGTGAGTGTAATTAGTCAGAACTCAGTAAAAGTGGGTATACAAAAATATTGGATTTAATTTTTCATGAGATTCTTTACAAGTATGTGCAAGTCACAGCCCTCTATGTTAGGTTGCTTACAAATCGAAAATGTGTGACAAGATAAAAACTTGATTTTGCACTGCTTCTCTCTTTGTACACTAAATTTGGCTATGTTTTTCCATTGCATAAATCCTAGTTAGGAACCAGGCCTGTGGCAAAAACAATTCATTTTCATTTTCAAAAATATTATAGTTATATTTGTTTATTTTTTCAGGTCCTTTCTTGGCTTAATCCATGTGTCCAAGTCAACAAGGGTGGGAAGAAGATGGTTCCTGCCATTGGTTTAAAAAACAGCAAGATCAAACTTTGGCCAGATGTTGATCCTCAGGTTGGCTCTATAACTATAATAATAAAAAAAAAGTTTTTCGCAAATACAAACTACAATAAATGTAAATGATTGTAGATGACTAAAAATACAATTAGCACACATTTCATAGTGCTAAAGTTGCATTTTAATTGGGTTCAAGTTGACAGTAAACAGTAGACTATAAGCATAATTTTTGGAGCAAATGAACTCTTGTCAAGGGGCTAGGTGGGAAGACAGGTTTTGCTTTCATTTAAATAGGGTAATTTTCTCTTCTTGTGGGTCAGTTCTCTTGAAAGGAGTTCAGATGTCAGGTAAATCTGTGTGGGTAAATGGAAAATATAATGTAAAATTTTTCTCAAAACTCGACTGGAGAAGAGCAAGTACACAATTGTATCAATGAATTCATAAATAACATCAGTACTGATCTTGAAAGTAGAAGTCAATATTTTAAAAGTTATGCTGCGTTGGAAAGGTTACTGAAAATTTTTGTAGGAAATGGTTATTTGAATAAAAAAAAGTGGAATCATGCCATGAATGTTTCCGCCTTACCAGAAAAAATGGTAAAAGTTAGTGGGTGTGGCTTAAATGCAGGTACAAGTGTTTTGACACCTCATTGATATGAATGGTAACTCAAAGTTTTGTTTTACATCTCAAACTATTACCGGTATATGTGCGTGTAACCCGACGATCTTTGTTTCCAAAGTTTCCTTCTGCTTGCACTTGATGACGAACCTCTTAGTTTCCTCTCTCCAAATGATGTACCTCGGAATATATTTGTGACTACAGGTTTTCTCTTTTTTTTTTTCTGTGGAGATTAAAGATATGCTACAGGAGGGGGGCTTTGGGATTTTGGATTTTGCGGTTTTGACTGTTTTTTGGATCGGTTTTTTGGTTTTTGGGCCAAAAAGGTTCGGTTTTTCGGTTTTGATGTTCTGAGCGGTTTGCGGATTTTACGTGTTCTTGCATTCGGTTTTCGGTTTTCACTAAAACTCTGATGCGGTTTTCGGTTTTTCCTTTTTGACCCCTTTAAGGTGAAAATGTAGCGGTTTTGTCAGGTTTGCATGCGGTTTTCGGTTTTGCTGCCTTTTTTCGTGGGTTTTTTGGTTTTGGAGGTTTTTTTCTCCGGTTTCCCAGAGGCCCCAATGCCCCCCTCCTGTAGTCATAAGCATGATATGATTGACAGAATTAAATCAATCAGCCCTAACTGTTCCCACGGCTTGTGCTTCACGACGGTAAGATCGAAATAATTCAAAATAGTGTTTCAAGGTTTGCGCCTAAACTGAAGAGTGTTTTTTTGTCCACTGATGGCCCTTCTCTTCTAAGCCAGCTAGCCTTATAAATTGTACAACTTTTCTTTGTTAATGGTTCTCAGTACGAGCCACACGGTTTCTAATCGCAATTCACTAATTATTATTTTTTTTCACTGAAATTAATCAAAGTTTGGCTGGGTTGCGGCCTTCACTATGGTGTAGCCTATCCTCGGTTAAATACGGCGGTTAATTTTTATCATTAACTAGATACAACGGCCATGTTTACTAGAATCATGTTATTTTGTTGACATCTATTACAGGACGTGAAAGAATACTTGAAGGGCCTGGGGAAATCCACCACAGAGTTAGCAATACAATTTGCTGCAGAGGATACTTGTACTGTGAAGGACCTGAAGAAGAGAGCGAAAAACTCTAAAGCACAGAAAGGAGGAAAAATTCCTCGACAACTTTTAAGTGAAAGTCTTGGGAAATTGATCGAATTAGGTGGGTATTTAAACATCTTTGATAATTAAGGTAATTTTACAGTAAAGAATCATATTAATTTAATATAGCAAATGGTACAGTGTGAATGTGTTATGGAAAAATTCAGAATTAACCAATGAATTAAGAGCCTTATAGTCGATAACGGCAGAAGGTAAGACAATTTTTGGTTTTGAGTAAATAAAAAATCAAAGCTATACAGCAGACCAGTTATTTCCAATTTTACCCCTGTGCAATCCTTTTTCTATTAATTATATACCTATCTCGCCCGTCTACGGTGAGTCCGTATTGGGTCTCGATTTTCTTTAGAATTCTACCCTTCTGATGCATAATTTTCCCGTTAATTTGGCTTGCAATTTTGTTTCTTTTTAACCATGGGTTTTGAAAGTTAAATTGCAGTCTATGAGGAGTATTATTTTCTCGCAAAATTAAGCAACTTAAGAGAAAAAATTGCTTCTAAGCATTGTAAGTAATGCTCAACAAATGGTCATATTTTGACAAGAAGCTTTCTTTGCATTCCTTTTTCTGTTTTTGGTTTATAGTAACAGAAACACAGGGAGAGGATAGTAGCTCCGAGTTAGAAATATTATTGGGCCCAACAAGTCCAATTCCACAAGAAATCGAGGCGTGTGCAGGTAGCTTACAAGAGATTGATGAAGATGTTATTACCCGTCTGAAGAATGCAGAGGAAACCTTGAAAACGACTGTGGAAGGTATTCAAAACATTGTATGCGATAGTAATTAATAGTCAATGGTGGTTTCTCAGTTATTGATGGGCCAGGTGCAGAATAGCCTGTATATCTTAGTAGGAATTTCATATCTTTCGTTTAATACAGAAAAGGAATTCTGTTCTCTTGTTGCGCGGATTTTGAATTTAAATCATATCAATGAGCATGTTGACAAAGATAGCTTTAATTAAACCTCAGAGTGTGTTAATATTATTACAGAGGTAGAATTTATCAAATAATCTTAAACTTCACAGTTCAAATACCATTATCCAATGCCCCCCCCCCCCCAAAAAAAAAAAAATTAAAAGATAGTGAAGGAGGAACAGGTAGGAGTAATGTAAAAATCATCGGCAATAAATTTGACATATTAAACAGTTTGATTAAACTATCTCTGTCCGTAGCTCTTTCACATTCATCACGATGTAAGAATAATGTCAATGTTTTGCATGTAGCACTTTTCTGCTGCAGATGTCTGTCATTATTTCGTCTGGTTTCTCGATACTTTTAGACAGTGTTTAATAGAAGAATTGTATGGTTTAATTGAAACCACTTTCAATTTCAGAATATAATGACCAGCCTGATAACGTTCAAAGTCACGAGGAAGGACAATCTGGTGATGAGCTATGTGATGAGGAGCTAACGTCGTCTCAGTCATCAGAGTCCCATGATGAGGTATAGTCACAAAACACGGTGCTTCGTTATAATTTGATAACTGACCAATGCGTAGCTTTATGAGATATGAAACTCTGAGGAAGATGCATTAATTCTTCAAAGTGGCGTACATTAATTGCTTTAAGTTGTTTTGTTAGAAACATTAAATCAGATTGTATTAGTTGTGGTTGCCAGTGGACGATGAATATTTAAGAACTGTTCACCAAAGCGGAGGTGGCTAGTGGTGGATCTTTAACGAACCGCGAGCGGCAAGGTAAATATCAACCGCTAGCCAACAACGTTGAAGTGAATAGTTGGTTTAGTATACACTAAAACAGTGAGATGCGATGGACTAGCATCCATCCAGGGGGGGGGGGGGTAGAAATACTCCATGTCGCTTCATGCTAAGGAAACCGGAGATAATCGCCGGTCAGATGGGCCACTTGGTTCGTATACAGACTTTTAAAACAGTGAGATAATATTGCATAAAAAGATCATATAACTCAAATATTCCTGCAGCGATTACAATTGTTTCGGGCACAATTCCCACGCAAGCTGCTTGGAGGTGAATGGTTAGGAATTATTCCTTGGGTGCGCGTCGTATTTGAGTTTGTTGTACTTAATTTCGTATCTATCAAGCACAAAAGCAACAATTGTTTTGTTAAACTGAAGTATCAAAATAGGTGCGAATTGTACATCATGGAGAAAATTTTTTTTCCTTCAAAGAGACAGCAATATATCGTTTGAATTAGCGATGTATCCCCAAAAGAGCCGCTGAATTTGGGAAGTGAGCAAGGTGCAACCTGACCCAAGTGGACGGAATTTAGTCCTGCAACTATTACAATATTTTCGGGCGCACATCCCGCGCGCGTAGCTCGGAGGTTAATAGCAAAGGATATTCGGAGTTTCAGTGGCCAATCAGAGCACGCCTTCATCGCTATTCACTGTTTTAGTACATACTGAGTTATTTTATGTTATTGTTTTATTCATCCACAGGTGTCGCAAAGGTCAACTGACTTGGACGAAAGTGATCATATAAATCAGCTTGAAGGTAAATTTGAAAACAAATTTATGGTCAGTTTCTCAGAGGTAGCAGGTAGTTTAACTCTTCCTAAGGGAAAATTCTTCCGCCTGTTTGTTGCAGGACCGTCCTGTAAAATTTGACCTTTCCACTGACAAGCAGCGTGTGATCGGTCAAATTGGACAGTGAAACACCCTAAGAAAATTAAGAGGCAAATGCCACTAGCTAATAAGAATTTAACTACTTTGTCAATGCTAACAAATTAAAGAAAACATATTGAATAACAGTTTCTGGATTCAAAAAAGGAATCAAACATGAACTGGCAAGGAAAAAAAAATGTTTTCCTTAACTATTTGACGATCAGTGTAACAGTCCTATTTAGAAAGTAAGGAAAACAGAGCCGCTATTGTTATTGTTACAGATTTAATTTTGTTTGACATGCTCCACTACGGCTGTGTGATTCAGCCTCATAATAATGATTAATTTTTCTATGGATGCGACAGGCATATCGATTCCACTAATTTTACATTGCTTTTAAAATATTCGGAAGATGATGGTGACGAGCTCTCATGCAAAAATGTCATCATTGATTGAATAGTCCAAGTAATTAATTGGTGATATGACTGTTTGTCATACCTTTTAAGGGCATTCGTACTTGTAATTTCAAATCAGCCTTGCGCGCTCTGCTCAGACCATTCAAAACTGTTCTCCATTCTGTCCTATCACTATTTCTCCCATGGATAAATGAGGTCAACAATTTTTCATAACACTGCAACCAAGTCAGTAGAACTGCAGTTTTACTTGCAGGCAGGACCTTGGATCTATTTTACTGGTTTTCCTTAAATAGTTGATTTAAGTTTGTTTGACATGCTCCACTACGGCTGTGTGATTCAGCCTCATAATAATGATTAATTTTTCTATGGATGTGACAGGTATCGATTCCACTAATTTTACTCTGCTTTTAAAAGATTCGGAAGATGATGGTGACGAGCTCCCATGCAAAAAAAGGAAAAGGTCTTGGAGGCCAAATTGAAGAATGTTAGTTACTGGTAGTTCCTTTATTTCTTAATAATTTCATGGACAGTCTGATTCGATCTAAATCTTAGAAGCTATATGGTATCTTTGTCCTCTATGTTATTCTTCTGGCTTTGTTGTTTTCCTGATCTGAATCTTATTGTCCAGCCAAAATCCTAACCAAAAGTTTGATACGAATTCTAAGTTGCATCCCACAAACTTCTTAAGGAGAGGAGGGTAGTCAAACAAGTAATTTAGAACTGTCTGAGAATCAGGCGTAATTATCTTGATACTCACCGGTTTTATGTGATTACTTTTTCAGGTAAACGAAAGAGATGCCCACAGATATTGACTTCGTAAACTCGAAGGAAAAAAAAAAAAAAAAGAACTCGACATTTCGTCGGTGTCATGACGCCGCGTACAAGACAAGAGAATTGTGATCATTCTTAGATAGCGAGATGACCTTATAAAGTGTTTTTACTCAAAATAAGGCATTAACCGAAGTCCGTGGCACGATCATGGTCGGTTTAAAGATTAACCTCGGAATTAGCTTGTGTCCAACCTGTCTAATGATCATGGACCTCATGATTACAATGAAATGTCGAGTTTTTAGGAAAAGTTTTTTTTTTAAGGAATGTATAAAAAAAGAATTTTATATTTATTTTAGATTTTTTTTAGTTAAACTTTTATGCAGTGTCAGTTGCAAGAATTAAAAATGGTGTACGATACCACAGAGCTGAGAAGAGAAAATGCCAACAATATTTGTGGACATTAAATTAAATTTTAATGCTATGACAAAACGGCAGAAGTCGTCAAAAACCACAACGTACACACAAGGAGTAAGAAAGTGTTATTAATCTTAGAGTAAAATGTTCATATTGCGAAATATTTATTGTTTTCAATCGACCACATTTAGCCTGCAGAGCAGGCGTTCTAGTGGAGTTTGTTTGGGTGAAAGTTAGACCGCACGAAAAATAGAGCGAGGCAACGGCTGCTCTGCAGGCTAACCACATTTTGTTCCCCGTACTATTCCTTATAACGGATTCCTCGGGTAACTTATTAACACAGCGTCACACAACACGTTACGTATTCAGTCATGAAATAATAATAATAATAATAAAAGTCTTTATATAGGATTACACAATTACTGGTGAACCAGTAGTTTCCATTGTGGTCCTTGCAAACAAATGAAACAAATGGTCTAAATTGAACATAACATCATTAAGAACATCATTAAGAACCCCAACCGGCCGGAGGCAAACCAGTTGGCTATTAACAAGCGTGGCCAAGGATCTGAACACAGGGCTACCATGAAACAAATCTAGTGGTCAGGGTGGGACTCGAACCCGGGAGCGGCGGATTACAAGTCCGACACTCGGCCACACTGCCTCGACACAAATAATCTTTTGCTTTTTCTCGAGATCTGAGCTTGGGACGCCTGTGGAACCGCCTAGCCTTAAAGTTCGTCTTGATTAAGCCCTAAGGATTACAAACCCATGATTATTGTTGGTCCTAATAACCCACGGGCGGATGTTAACCTCGCATGTCGCGTTATGCGTTATTTTTGCGGCTCCCTTGAGCCACTGTTCGAAAATTTGTGTTGGTGATCTTATAAAGTCTTTAAAGAGCCGAGTTTAGGATCTTCACGAACAAATATATTGTTGACGTTTCGTTGGAACAACTGCTAAGTAACTTCTAAAACACAACGTGGCGGCTTTCTTGGCTGCGTGCGCCGTTATCAACTGACATTCCCGTCTTCTTGCTATATCACCCTATTTTTGCAGCTCCGTTGAGCCAATGTTCATTCCCTGCCTTCCTTCCTCCTCTCTAGTGAGAGAGGGATGAGCGTGGGTAACACAAGACCAAGAACGATTCGGTCTTAAGTAACTTTAAAAAAATTGCGCCTGCTCAGCTGGCTAGTCTGGAGGGGCTAGGCTACCCTATGAGTTTGCGTACTTCAAGTGCCATAATTTCAAAAGCTCTCGCTAAATTCTTTCCCTGTAGTAATCGAGAAAAAGCCGAACGCGTCGTTACAGAAGCCGACAATCTCAAGGTGTCTTGGTCGGATACCGTTGGGAATGAGGGAGGTAACGGCAACGAGTGCACAATTTGTGCTGCGATCGTTTCCTATGAGATTCTATAACTTTTACGGCTTCCTCTCGTGACAAAGTCATCGGGATAGACACTTCATGCCAGTTACTTAACATATTACGCAAAAGTCACAGGAAACTGGGAACCAGACTTCCCACCATGCACTCGTAATGTCGCACACGAGAACGGCCATGTTGAGTTGACAATCGAAAATTTTCTTTTGCTTGCAGTGATTCTTCAAAACTTGTTTTTCGTACAATGTCGTATCATCCGCCTCCACCACAACCATTGGGTGCTCCTCCAGCGGGAATGCATCTTCCACCAGGAATACCACCCCCTGGAAGTCTACCGCCGGGGCTGCCCCCTCCGCCACCGTTCCCTGGCCCTCCTGGTTTTCCGCCGCCACCAATGCCTCCTCCGGGTGCAACAGGTGAGTAGAAACAACGAACATGGCATTGAGAATACCTATGAAAGGAGCTACCTGAAACTGGTTAAGTCTTGAAGGTAGTGGTGGCGTAGATGCAGGAAAAAAAATGAAGTTAAAAAAGCTACTCAGCTGTGCACTAGTTTGTTGCAACTTATTGAGGAAGAGCCAGCGGATTGTTACATTTTTAGATTTTTCTTTTGCCATAGAGATGTTCTAATTCAAACCGCTGCAAAGAAATTTTATTGTGTTGTTAGTGGCCTTGAAAATAGAAACAGCCATTTCTCTTTCATTGTGCTTGTATGAAATAACTAGGCAAGACGTGCTGATGAGCGAATTTCACAGCTCAACTTTTATTTGGCAATGATTGAATTAGTTAAGCGTTGAAAAATAGTCTGCGTTTGCTCACATCTGCAGTGTACACTTATGGGCAAATGGGGGATGCTAAATTGACTCATCTGAGCGCGCGCTTTAATTTGGTTATGTTATAAATTGTGTTGATATCACAAGGAGAATTTCTGACCCAGTCACTCATGGGATTTAAAGCATTGCATGTAACAATTTTTTTTTGTTAACTTTGTGTAAGCAACAGTCCCACCAGCAATACCAACCAAACCTCCTATTGCTGTCCCAGGAGTTCCTCCTCTAGGAGTTGTAAGTATCCATTTATTTCTCATGCATGCACATATTAATTCTCTGTCTTTCTTTCTCTCAGTCTGCAGCCTTTCCTTACATTTAGATAGTGCGGAAAGCCGCAAAACTCTTGAGCAAAAGTTTATCTTTTAAATCAACACTTCTAATCTCAAAGGTATCAGCTATTGCTTTTCATTCTTCTAATTTATTCTTGTTTTTCTCATTACCATATTACTACCAATAGCGTAGCTCCGCTTTCTGTGTATAAACACACACAACCCACAATGCCTTCATTTGCTCTGGCTAGGGGCAAAATCTCAAAATATCAGCTTTGAAACCCAGTACGGTGGTCAACTTACATTAACGATTCAGTTGATAATAAAATGAAATTACCTTGTTACCTTCACAGACGCAGCATCACAGTTTCTTCAGAAACTTATCCCCTACTTTCTCTCATGTTTAGCATCTCTGAGTGTTACCAATAGTCTGGCATAAATTACATTCAGCAATACAGTATTTAAACCTTGATAAACCCCTACACATGCATAACACAATGCAGATTGAGATTTTTTTTTTTAAGGAGGTTTAAAATTTTTTCATTTTCAAATTTGATGAGCATTATAGGAGTAATACTTGAGTTTTTTTTATTTTCATCCTTAGCCCCCAGGGTTACCACTTCTTCCCACTCCAACAGCTCCTTCAGGACGACCACCTCACAAACATGAAAACAAACAGAATAACAATAACCAGGTGAGCAAAGCCATGTTTTTCTCAATTTTTGTTCTATCTCACTGCACATGACTCTGTGGTTTCTATTTAGTACCCTTTAAACTTGCCCCAGGTTCTGCTTTAATTTATTCATACTCTTGTGATTCCACTCTTGAAATTGGTTTTTCTGTTGTTGGTGTCTTGGATTAGCTGTGGACTTTCACTGTAACACATCACCATTAACCATTTTTCGTTACAACACATTAAAACTTGCTCAGGAAAACTGGTAATCCTTGAAAGACACTTTTATTCCTTGTGTTACGTAGTGCTATGAGAAATTGAAAGGAATAGTAACTGTTGTTGTAGTAGTAGAAAATTAATATAGTGCTTTCACTCTCTAACCTTAGAATCAAAACCAAGCAAATTCAACCTCGACAACAACAGTGTTTGTAGGTAACATAACTGAAAGAGCTTCTGATGCACTTATTAGACAAATTTTAACGGTAGGTGCCTTTCCTTTGGTTTCAAAATAATATGTTTTCACTGCTTTATTAAGTGGCCCTCATGGAAAACTCCTGTCCTAAAAGTTATGTATTTTTTAATTTTCATTGTGAGAACAGAAATGTGGTGTTGTAGTAAACTGGAAACGGGTGCAAGGAGCCAAAGGAAAATTACAAGGTAAGAAAATATTAAAGTATTGTTAAGGATTCATTTTAAACTGGAGTAATAAAAATAGGACAACTTTATAGAGAACATTCTCTTAGCAGGAGTTACACCTGACAGCTAATGCCTTCCATGTAGTGTCACAAAATTTTATCTACAATATGAGTGTTGATTAGGTACTCAATATATTTCTAATTTCAGCATTTGGATTTTGTGACTATGGAGATCCAGAATCAAGTCTACGATCCATTAGGTTACTTCACAATAAAGTATTGGGAGACAAGGCATTAGTTGTGAGTAAATCCTTCCATTCAGTTGTTTCCCAAATTTTATTTAATATTTGCTATTTAACATCTTAAATAAGGCTCAGCACTTAAGATATGCTCATTCTTGGGAAGCCACAATGAAGTCACCCATACAAACACAAACAAATCTGAGATAGAAAAATCTGTAGAGCAATTTGCTTTTTGTTTCATTTGGCTGTCTGGTTCATTTTTTTCCCAATTGCTATTCCAGGCAGCCAGTACTATAATTTCTTTTGTCAGTTCAAGTAATTACCTGTAATTTAGGAAAATAAGAAATACAGAGATTGCTGTTTGTTTTCGGTGTATCTACATGTATGCCATCCAGTTGCATGCTGAATTGATTTTATTTGTCGTGCAGGTGAAAGTGGATGCCAAAACCAAGACTTACCTTGATGAATACAAAGCTGAGAAGAAGAAAGAAATAAAAAAGGTGTTGAGAAATGTCCTTGTCATGCATGCTTGTGCATGTTTAATAGACACTCTGTAATGGAGACTTTGAGAGGATTGACATTTTTGTTTTTTCTTGTTCAGAATGCCGAGGAAAAGAAAAAAGAGGATGGAGAGGCTGATGATGATGAAGATGATGACAACGATGATCTTGATAGTGAAACCTTGGTAAATAAGAACATTTCGTCATGAAAAGTCCCTGTTTTTGCTAAATTGTGCCAACCAAATTATATTTCTCAAAAATGCACAGGTCTGTAGCAATCTGAATTGTTACGATTTTGCATATAGTGTCTGTTTTATCACATGTAAAAGGTAGTGTATGTACATGTACTAACGAGAGTGTCAAGTTGTGTGGTTAATTACTACTGTTATGCATAGTAGTAATGTTTTCATCAGTTCACTCTGTCATGGATGTGTAAGATAATTTTTTTCCTTTTCTTTTCAGGTAGAAGACACTAGAGTCAAGAAGGCCATTGAGCAAATCATTTTAGAGCATTCTGATATTTTAAACAGGAAAATAGAAAGTATGTGGTTCTGGAATGTTTTTGAAAAAAAAAAAGTGCTTCATGCGGTGTTTTCAAAGGATGTTTGCCTACAGTTTGCCAACTGTAGGCAAACTATGTATTCCAGGTAGAGGTTGGAGCTGTTCAACCCTGTAACCTCTTGGAGTGATAAGCTTCTCATTTCTCCTTACAATATCACCCTTAAATCACACATCAAAGTCACGAGAATAAGGGAAATGATCACCAACTAAGTGACATGTACATTTTGTGACGGTTTAATTTTGCAGATTGATGCTGTTTTTTTCTGTTTTTAAGAATAAATTTCTTTTCCTGTGATGACTGAAATTTGTACAGGGGGTAATTTTAATAATAGTTTTTCTTTAGGTGGCCAAAAGTTAGGGGAGTATTAAGAAGTTACTCCGTAGATGATTCATATTTGGATATTTGACTTTGCTGAAAATTAAGAATGGAATTTGACACTTGTTTTGCTGTCAAAGTTGTTTTTCTTTTGTGGCCTTTGGTTGATAAAATTTTGTTGTATTTTACTTTGCTTTTTTTTTTTCCTTAGTGGGAATGATTTTGTGTTGTGGATTGTGGAGATTATTAAAAATCTGCACAAATGAAAACCTGCAAAATTTCATGCTACATGGTAGAAATATTAGTTTAAGAAGTACTATTTAATGTTCCCTGTATTTCTAAGTCCACCCAAAGCCTAAAACTGCAAAATAAGCTTGTATGGCCTTTGGAAAGAGAAAGTGATGTGCGTTTGCTTTTCTTTGTCAGATGAACCTTACAGAGCTACACACAGTGGATCAGAGGTATGTGCCAGCTATTCTTTAACTGTAGGGCTCAATTTTGTCTTTTGACATTTAGGATTTAAACTGTAGAAAAATTTTCACACCCTCAGCAGTGTCCATTAAAATACAGGTTTATGTTGTTTACTTTAAGTTTATTTGCTCATTAACAGTTGATTGTAACTCCCAGATAGTGCAGAGTGACCAGGCTAGCAAAAGCAAGTACATTTCACAGTCTACAATGAAAAAAAGGCAACTTTCCCAAATGCTTGTGCCTCAAATTTCACCTTGGACACATGATATTATGTGGTTACTTTGCATAACATAGCAGTTAGTCAAAATTCTTTTGATAACCCTGAGTGACTAACCATTGACCCTAGATACTTGCAGTATTAACAAATTACCTGATTAAACTTTGAGAAAGAAAAATTAATCTGTTAATGTATTCATTTGATACAGAGTTTTTTTTTATATGTAAAAGTACAGGATGAAGTAAAAAAAAAATTGGATATGTGCAGGGGCCTGTTTCTCGAAAGTTCTGGTAACCTAACGGACCATTAAGCTGTTCTGTTGTCATTCAAGATGGGGATTTCAAAAGTTTTGAAAATGATACAATAAAACTATCAGCCAAAGAAACAAAAAGGACTGGTGTGGGTGCTAGAACCTACTTTGCTATTGTTTAAATTTTGAATTTAAAACATGGTTTCAGGACCTTTAGGTCACTGAGACTTTTGAGAAATGGGCCCAGGTGTTGCTGTCTGTGCCACTACAGAACTGTGATTGTCTGTCCAGCTAATGCCATCTTGTGCTTATTTTCAGCAAAATTTGGAAGGGTTGGATATGGACAATGAAAAAAAGAGCTTAGTATCACGAGAGATTAGAAGTTTCAGAGATACTTACAGAGTAAGTTCACTTCTCTTTGTACTTGATCTTAAATGCTGCTATCTTGGTGTTGGTGTCAACCTGCATGTTGGTTATGTTGCAAGTGTTTAACTCAGTAAAATAACTAAAGAAGTGCATAAGAATCAGCCTTACCCAAATTGATAAGCAGTAAATGAGCCAAGGTTTAATGAGAATTGTTGTTGACACTAAAAACAGTTTATTGATGAGTTGGTGAGATTGGTCGATTTCCTCTTCTGCATTTTCTGCTTCTAGGATTTGAATTGGTAAGTAATTTTGAAAAATGTTTTTGATGATCATAAATATGTGGCAAATTGTTGCCACAGAAGTTTAATTTTCTTTTTTTCAGTGGTCATGAATGTTCTGCAGGGTCAGGTGTTTTATCACCACTGCATGTTGTATTCTTCACTTTCGAATCAATGTGGCTGCCTTTGGTTTACTGTTCCTGACCTTATGCCAGATATTAGTGAGTTCAGAAATTTCCAACAAAAGTAAGAATGTTATCCATTTAATACAGCAAATTAATTCAAGGCCATGGATTTTCAAATAGTATTTAAGTTTAGTGGGCGAGAAAGGATATGGAGGGTGGGGCAGTTGACAGAGGTTGATAGGGGAGGGGAGGGAGGCTAGATCAGGTCGAAGCATTAATTCTTATCAGTTAGTCGTCGAATCAAGTAATCGTGTTCAGGAGAGTATTCCAAGTCTTAGCTGGAGCAGTAACATATTTCAAACCTTCAGCGCACGGTAAGTATTGTGTTTGTTTACTCTGTTTACGAGTATGTGGCTGTAATGTGAAACCGGTCGCGTTAGAATGTCGTACAGGTGTACGCGGAAACAGTTGTTACTCTATTGTTTTTAACAGATTTACCTGAGATCGTCGGAGAAGACAATCGACAGAAAGAGAGAATTGTCATTTCGAGGTTTAGAGTTGAATTTCGACTGCCTGTTGTCAATTGTTTTTTTCCAGCAAAGTACTCGAAGACAACATAGTTTTTGCCAACTTTTGTTGTGTTTTAACGAACAGGACATCATCACGGTAAATGTTGGGTGGGAATATCGTATCTCAACTTTGTTTTTTTTTTCATTTGTGTTTTTTCAGAAAGAGGACAAGAAAAAAGAAGAAGAGAAATCGGAGAGGAAAGACAAAGACAGGGACAGAGATAAAGAACGAGAAAGGGACCGAGATAAAGACAGGGACAGGGAGCGCGACCGGGACCGGGACCGAGACAAGGAGAGAGAACGAGAACGTGAGAGAGAAAGGGAAAGAAAACGTGAACGTGAAGAAAGGGAACGTCGAGAAAAAGACCGTGATCGTGACGATCGTGACCGTGATCGTGATAGAGATCGTGACCGCGAGAAGGCGCGTGAAAAAGAGCGGGAATCTGAACGTGACCGAGAAAAGGAACGTGAGTACGACGAAGATGAAGAGCTGGATAGACGACAGCGAGAGAGAAGACAACGGGAGAAAGACGCCTCTTATCAGAAGGTTGGTAAACTTGTTCACCTCAGTATTCATGTATTTAAAAGTCGCGCAATTTTTCAATATCTGCTATGTCTACCTTAAATCTCCGCTGGTTGTGGCGTAAGAAAAAAGAACACGTTCATTTCTATAGCTGGGAAGATTATCCCAGTTTCAGGGGAGAGTGTTAGGTCGAAATAAGTTGCATTATGGGTTAAGTTCAGATAACGTTGCATGTGGAAGTCAGATTAGCTAATTTCTTGACCGTTCAATACTAATAACAAGAAAACGTTTTGTGTAATTCAAATCTGAGAGCGGTTACAAATCATCAATTGCCTTGCCTCTCTATTTCAGCGGTTGAAAACATGGGAAAATAGAGAGCGAAAAAGAGCGCGGGAATATGAACGAGAAATGGAAAAAGAAGGCGAGAAGAAAGATGAACAGGTGAGTACATACCAGGACCCAGTAGTTGGGAAGATAGACAACGCTTTCCATCGGATAAATCTCTGCCCAGTTGACAACACTACTTATCCACTGGATAGCCGCGATTTATCCGGCACTAGACTTTCTGGCACAGTTTAAGCTTCAAGTGGTGCTTGTGAACTCTTTAAAAGACTGTAATAATGTGACCTGATTTTCAATGGAAAGTTTACACCTTTCACCAAACGTATGTAGATGTAAATGACTTCAGCTAATTCTCTTCTCTGTCTTTCCTAGGCACGCGAGAGGAAGCATTTACTGGAATTTCTTGAGGATTACGATGACGATAAGGACGATCCAAAATACTACAAGTAAGTGAGCAGTTCAGAGAAGCGTCATGTACAGTATGGCGCCATTGGTACATTTTGCAGTCCACGTCAATCCTTTTCATCCTTAATCATTCTCGTTCCTTTGTAGTTCGTTTGTCAAGTGAATGTTGTCCTTTGTCATTAAATAAATGTTTTTGGCTTCATTCACGCTGAAGATAATTTTGCAGCGAGAAACTCGAGATATCATCGCGTAGCGCATCTTAATAAAGGGATAAACGAACAGTCCTGGTCTCTGCCTTTGAAATCTTAGCGGGCACTCGGTATGACGGATGGAGCAGCCGCTGGTCAGCATGTCATATCTCTAGCTTAACCTTCTTTAAATTGTTTTAATCTGCATTAACTTCAAAGACAGAACTACAAACTTGCTTGATCCAGACGCATAGGAAACTTCCCGAATGCCAACTAAACCCAACTATACTTAATCAGCTTCTGCAGCCTTTCTGTTTTTCCTGTACGAAGGTTTTATCTTTAAACAATCATATTTATACTTGAAGGGGAAGCGCACTACAGAGGCGGCGACGCGAAAGAGAAATGGAATTAGAAACGGACGAGCGAGATCGCCAACGAGAAATGGAGGAAATAGAAGAGATTAGAAAACAAATTGTCGATAATCGGCCCGAAGACATGGATGAACAGGTGACAACTCTATCGTTTGGTCCTGTTGCTTTTTCCTGGGAGTGTGTTTCAAAGAATTTTTGATTCTCATTTGTTGAAAGTATCCGGGGAAACTTCGCTTAGACCCCATCTAACATTATAACATAATCAAAGTAAAGCGCGCGCTCTGATTGGTCAATTTAGCGTCCACCATTTGCCCATGGGTGTACGCTGCCGACGTGAGCAAATGCAAAGACTATTTTTTGCGCGCGCTTGTTTTTTCTGGTCACGTAAGATTTGTTAAATAAAA